GTTAATTTTTTCATGAATTTAATAAAGTTTCTTCTTATTTAAATTAATTTTTCAAAAATATTACCGCCCTCTGGCGACGTTTGACTACGTAAACGTGCGGCCATTAAAGTATTAAAATTAAAAAAAAAAAGAATTTAATATTTTTCAAATTTAATAATAAGAATACGAAGAGTCAAATTTATTTATTAATAAAATAAAAAAAAACAAGAATTTAATATTTCTAAAATTTAATAATAAGTACAAAGTGTCAAACTTATTTCGTAAAATTATAATTAAAAATGAGACGTCATTTTTTTCCTTCTTTTTTATTATTTTCTTAACGAATTTTCCACGAATAAATAATTTATGATAATTAAAGACGTATCTATATGGACATATATATATACATATATACATATATACACATGTGTAAATTAAATAGTATTGTACAAAGTACAAAAGATTTACGAAGAAAAATAATATTAATAAGTAATTAAAAAATGTCTAGTAGTAAAAAAACTTTTTCTTCTAATATATTTAACAATAAGATAATTAAGATTATCTAATATTAATGTATTATTTTACGCATACATATAAAAATATAAACGATTTCAAGACAAATTTTATCTATTTCATTAATTTTTTGTATAGGTTATGTTCTTTATAGGTTTCTTTACAGGTTATTAATTAGTTCCTCTGATTGGAAAACCCCCTATATATATATATATACATATAAAAATATGAACGATTTCAAGACAAATTGTATCTAATTCAATAATCTTCTTTATAGGTTATGTTTTTATAGGTCCTTGTGATTGGTAAATCCCCTACATATATACATATAAAAATATAAACGATTTCAAGACAAATTTTATCTATTTCAATAATCATCTTTATAAGTTATGTTGTAATTGGTTCCTGTGATTGGAAAATCCCCCTCCACCTTTCTTTCCAAATCGGTTATTTTAACATCGTAGATTTCTCAAAAATGAAAGTTCTTGCCAAATAAAAAGGAAGACCTTGTGTTAATTATTAAATATGTAAACACACAAAAAAAAAAAGGAGAACACAAGAATGACGAAATAAAAAATGCGCGCAAAAAAATTATTTTTTTCATGGATTGTATGAATATATACATAAATAAATGTATACATACATACGCATATGTATGTATGTGTATATATAATCATAAGAAACATCCTTCGAGCAAAGTCATGGATGTTGTATTACGTCAGAATATTTTTGTCGCGCAGTTAGCAAAGTCGTCGTACGATCAGCCAACAGAGGAGGAGAGCCAATAAGCCGAGACCTTGAGAACCTTTTTCCTCTTCTCGCAACCGAGGCAACTTGATTAAAGTTTATTGGACTAATGAGCACCGATAACACAGAACCGGGCTTGAGCATAAACCAAAGTGGGAAAAAGATAGACGGAAACATACCCGGCGGACAGACAGACAGACAAACAGACAGACAAACAGACAGACAGACAGAGATGAAGATAGAGACACATCATTAGCACGTGACCAACACTCCTTTAGTGTCATTGGACTTTTCTCATTTGTTTACAAATATTACCAAACGGCTTGAATCTACCAATGTGACAAATTTCAATTTGTTTTTTTGTTTTTTTCTTTTTAGCCCATTACCCGTCACAATACGAAAATGCAAAAAAAAAAATTAAATCAACTGTATATATATTCATATTAACTGTATTTATATATTCATATTAAACTACAACTATATATTCATATCAAACTGCAACTATATATTCATATTAACTGTATTTATATTCATATTAAACTACAACTATATATTCATATTAAATGTATATATATTCATACTAACCAAATAGAATTATTTTTACAGCAATTGTTTTTTGTTTTTTATTTAAATATAAAAATTATTTTATATCATTTTTTATTGATTTAAAATAAAAAAAGTAAAAATTTAAAATATATTTTCATGACTTTAATTGAATATATTACATTCTGAAGTTGCAGTTATTAAAAAAAAAAAAAAAAAAGCCACAATTTGAAGATACGTCCCAAAAAAGGGCCATTGGGCCTTAATAGGTTAAATCAAAATCTAACAATCAATCAAATCACACGGTAATAAAAAGGATTCGATTATCGATCTAGTTAACGTATCCTAACCTATAATTAATTCTCCTTTAGATACTTTAGTTTGACCTTTAAAATGATTCTTTCAACTAACTGGTGGTTGCAACGAGATGAAGAACTTTGACCACACACACAGAAAAGAGTAGACTCTATCCTTTTTTCTCTCATTTGATTGAACATTTATTAATAATTCTATCAAAGTCCACCGACTATGATGACGACGATGACGACGACGATGATCCTTTTAACGTTGAATGCTTCTATTTTATTTTTTTTTTCTACCTTTATTTACCGCCTACTTTTATTATATAAAGTAAAAGGTGATATGAACAATTTGAATAAGGAAACCGATAGGTTAAAGTTCATATTAAATAACTTTGTTATTTCTTTTTTCCCTAACAACTTGGGGTTTTTTTTTTCTAAACGAGACTGAGGAAAAAAAACAAAAGGAAGTTTCGACAATCAAATATTTTGTTATTTAATTTAATACAAAAATCTCTATGGAGACACCACCCCATATATATATATATATATATATGTGTGTGTGTGTGTGTGTGTGTGTGTGTGTGAATTAATGAACGATAATTATGAACGAAATCGATCATGTGCGAAGAGGTCAAAGAGCTTGCACGTGTTGACCGTATGATCGCATGTTTCAAAGCTCGTAACGTTCCATTCAGGTTGTGACCCCTGATGACAAGAAGGTTAGGCTATCGTTCACTTCCTTCGTTTAAGGAAATTGCTTGTTCCCCTTTTTGCGCTTAGTAAAATATTGCAATGTAGTAGTCTAGTAGACAATGACAACGAGGACAACGACAACTAACAATGGTCAGATCAAAATAGAACTTGGATTTCCTTGGATGACCGCTAAACGAATTGTATTATGTTAAAATTTAAAATTAGCTTTACAAATCAAAATAAATGACAGAGAAATACATATTTCTTTCTCTATCTGTCTTTCTCTTTTGATTTTTTTTTGTTCTTTCTTACTCCGTCGGTAATGCAGTTTATCATATGTAAACTTTAACGCGTTACTTTTGAATTACTCGATGACAAGATAAAAGATTGATATATTATTATTGCCAAATAACAACGTGAATTGCATTTAAGCTTGGAATAAACAAAAATGGAAAAATGTAGGCTCGTCAAAACGATTACAGTTAATTACTTTTCCGATTGGAGGATTAAAGTATTGGGTCTACAAGTAAGTTTCCAGCGTTTTTAAATAGATGGTGTCACGGGTAAATTCCGGGCAGGTACATCTCATGTATCATTTTCGACAAAGCTTGTGAATCTGTTAACAACATTTTGACATCATCATATTTGCGCATTTCTATCGGCGTCGTCGTATATTTTATGAAGCAAAAACATGGCAAGTTATGTGCCAAATAAGCGTCATTTGCGGGAAGCGCTGCTTCTATTCTTTAATATGAAGAAAAGTGCAGCTGAGGCCTATCGTTTGCTTGCGGAAACTTACGGGGCGGAATGTATTGGTAAATCGACTTGTCGTGAGTGGTTCAAACGATTCAAAAATAATGATTTTGACGTTGAAGACAAGAAGCGTTCCGGAAAACCGAAAAATTTTGAAGACGAGGAATTGGAGGCTTTGCTGGATGCTGATCCATGTCAAATACAAGAAGAGCTTGCTGTATCATTGGGCGTCACACAACAAGCCATTTCCCTGCGCCGTAAAGCTTTAAAATTAAGAAAAAAAAGAAAAAGGAAAACAACAAAATGAATTTATTATTATCTCGTGAATTTCTAATGTACAATAAATGACATAAGCCATAGAACAAGTTGAAAGGTTATAATACTTTAGCAATGCCAAGTATGTGGGGGGTCCTCGATAAACTTTCCGACCTGTATCAACGGAAAATTACGTTTATTCTCTTTTGGTTTCTTATCTTTCAAACGATGATGACATCGAAAGCTAATGAAAAAAATATTTCTTATCTTAAAAAATATTTTCTCTTTTTTTTTCTTCTTTTTTTTCTTCTCATAAGAATATAGTTCAAAGATATCGTGTATTATATTGTAATACATCAAATTACGTTATTAATAGAAATACTTTAGGGTTAATAAACTTTTAAAACGATTGATTTGAACGATACACGTAATACCATCTAGCGTTTACAATTGAAACTAAAAAGATCGATAAAAAAGATATCTAACATTATCATCGATAATATCTCTGACATAAGAGTTCTACAATTTCAATCTAAATAAATCGTTGATTTAACGTAACGAGATATCTCAAAGTCCCTCGATAAAATATCAGTTAACAAATCGGCAATTCGAGAGGTCTGATGAGCTGTCTTTCATCTAAAAATATATCCAGTAAGAAAATTATAGACTGTCATTAAGTATTTACATGTTATTCGAGTCAGCTCATATAACTCTACTTTTATTCTTTTTATTAGTATCGAATTATATCTACCTTAGAAAAATGCTGATTAAAAAATTGTCTTGTTTCTTTGAAACATTTACGGTGATCTCACGTAAATAAATCTTAATCATTGAATACCGGTCCTATTTTTTTTTTTCCTTTAAAAGTTTTCCTAGGAAGTAAATTTTTACGTGAGACTGTATTATTGTTCAATACTACATTTTTTGTTTTACACCAATCAGGGAATATACTATGTGTGAAAATATTCCATCTAAATATCGTTATTTAAAAAAAAGAAAAAAAAAATCGGTCGGTAAGGTAGAATTCCACGTTACCACTTAGAAAGAAATAAAAGGAAATAAAAAAGAAAGAAAAAAAATATGATAATATTATTATTTTAAGAAGAAAAATTGTAACACGTGCACAACTATGATCGTCAAGGTTGAATCATGCTCGTACAGTTAAAAAATATTTATAAAAATAGGAAATAAAAAAATCATGTTTATTGCACTTACGTTTGTCGACTCCGAAGGTAATGTCGGTAAAGTGAACGCTACGAAGGACAGTCTGTGCTACAACAATATGATGGGCAGCAACCTTTGGAGCAAAGTCCGGGTCGTCGGCATCGAAGGACACGTTCTCTTCATATTCAGTCATCGTTCCTTCAGTCATCCTTCTTCTTTTTCGATCTATCGATTTTTCCTAACAACACCGACGATGCTCCTTCCTCTTCTTCTTCTTCTTCTTCTTCCTCTTCTTCTCTTCCTCAAGTCGTGTCCTAAATATAACATCAAAATAATAAAACAATTTGTATATTTTCCTTGACCTTCAATTTCAATGAGTTTACCGATCTCCTCGTCGGGATGTTTCAAGATTCTTTTTTTCTGTTTTTTTTTTCAGATTCTTTTTTTATCCATTCTTCCCCCCCACCCCTACATACTTCCACTTGACAGTTCGCATTTTATTTTTATTTTCGCATGACAAAATCGTACACCATTTATATGCAAATTATGTATGGTATGCATATGTTTTCATTGAGACACCTGCCTTCTTTTTTTTTTTTCTTTATTCTTTATATTTACACACGTATATATATATATATTAATGACACGGAGGTCGCGTTCTGCTTACCGACGCGGAAGTTCATATTTTATTATTCAAGACCAATCATTCTCTCTTTTTCTTTCTCTTTCTTTCTATTTCTCTTTGTGAGAATTCTTCCGTATTACTTAACGTACAGATTTATCGTATTCTCCTTGAATTTCTTTGCCAAATCGTTTTATTAATTATATGTTAAAAAAAAAAAAATAACAATAATACAAATAATACAAGTAAACATATTTAAAAAAGAATCTATCAACATGGCGCTTTTTTCTTTTTTTTTTTGTTTCAAATGTTATCATTGCAAAAAAAAGAAAAAAGTACGATAAAAAAATTCGCGTATTTACGTGTATTATTTATAGAAATAATTTATGTGCCTAGTATATTTATTTATATTAGTTATATTATTAATAATGTTTGTTAGATTTAAAAAATAAAAATTTCGTATAAAAATATTTAAATTAATAATAATAATAATAATAATAATGAAATAATTACTTATCATTCGTAGAAAGACATCGACTTCTTTGGAAGAGATACCGCACCTCTTGACGAACTACGTAGTTATGGCGGTTCGGCGCGAATTCTCGAATATCCGAACGCGATTTTGTGCGCATGCGCGTAAATTTTGCATTTTTTTCTTTTAAATTTAACACCTTTTTAACCCCTTCCCTTCTCTTCAAATCCGTGAGATTGTTCAATCGCATATAATATTTCTATTACCTATTGTTATTTATAAAAATTATTACTTGTAAAATTTAAATGATTAAAATTATATATTCATTCCTATAAATTTTATAATACAAAATAATTCATATCAGTTTCTAACAACATTGTGTATATATATATATATATATATATATATATATAATTTTTTTTTTTCGTTTTCAGTGAATATTATCTTTACGAATGGAATTATCTTCGATCATGTTTTGAATATTGAACCCTGAATAATAATAAAAAAAAAAAGAAACTAAATTAAAATTAATTATAATGATTATCTTATGTTTCATTGATTCGACACAGCTAGATAAATATCACAAATTTGTGATAACATTATATAATACATGATTATTAATTTGATTTTGGTTGATGGTTGCATAATCAGTCGAATATATATATATATATTATATATTATAGTAGAAATTGTTTCTCGTTCTTTAATGATTATCCTTATTGTCAGGAACAACATGCGTCGTTCAGAAGCTATAACTATAATGTTGTCTGTAAAATTAAAAATAGCTTTATTGAATTTTTGTTCACATTTGATTATGACATAGGAATATACCGAATACAACGTTAAATATTCTATAATAATACTTCTTTAAACAATTAAAACATATGATACAATTATATATATATATATATATTTATATATATATAATATATATACATACATATATATGAATATATATGTATATATATATATATACATTCTAATATCTATAAAAATACAACGCAATTCTATAAAAATACAACACTAATTGTCACTGGTATCAAAATCTAAATATGGGTCATTGGAAGAAGAAGATGGATGTATTGTATTTTGAGAGAAATGTTTGTTAATTCATACATCTTACCATAAAGAATGCATAAACTGATATTCCTTGGTTGAAAATTAATATAAATCACTCATTCAGGCACTCTATTACACTCGGCTAGTACTATATAGTCAGTACGGATGAATAGACAACGAAAAAATGTATGACCTTATCATACAAATAATTTGGCACATTGGTATTTTCAAGTTTCTCTTTCTGCACGAAAATCGTAGCAAAACTGAAATCAATTATATTTTATAAATATATACATAAATTAATTTTCTTTTATTATAAATTTTGTTAATACATATATATATATATATATACCTCTTTGTCCAAATCTTTTTGCGTCCACATTTTGATTGTAGGAAATTTATACTAAACAGATAAGATATAATTTTAATCGATTAGATAAATACTTTTAAAAAATAAAATTGTTTAACTGTGTTAAAAGCACCAAGCACTCGTTAATTGAGTTTTTTGTTTAGGTCACGACCATCTGTTATAATATAATAATAATAATAAATATAATAATGTTGATAAATTGGTAATCGACGTGAACTAAACCGAAAGTCATATACATATATATATAGCTTGGTGTGTTTAACATATTAAAAAGTAATTGTATACTTACTATGGCAGAATCAGAATTCAAATTAAGACGAGGATTGAGAATAAATGGGACTCCATCTAAATCGGAAGAACCTGGCAGTGTACCATAAATTGGAGTGGAACCGATGACTGAAGTGGTAGGAGGTTGAGGAGCTGGTCTCGTAGGCCTCAATCTCGCACTAGGACTTAACACTTCGTAATCCCTATCATTGGATTCGTCTGTATCCTTTCCAACTAGAGCTGCTCCAATTTGAGAATAAATACCATTATTTGGTTTTGGAGAAAACTTGGGTTTGGGCGGTCTCTCTGGTGGTGCTCGGTGAGGCGTTCCATTGGAAGGATTAGGAGAAGCATTTTGCATTAATAGTTTACTGAAATAAATATATCAAAAATGAATAGAAATATCAAACTGTTTGTTTTTTTTTGTCTAAAACTTATTTTCACTTACTCTATATTAATATACGATTGAGAATTTGGTTGTCCATTCGTTATATCCACAGTTTTGTAACAAACGCATACTCCATTTATTACGCTGTTTTAAGAGAAAATAATGTTAATAATATTTTCTTTATTATTATTAGTACAATAAAACGATTCGTGCAAGGACTTGGATAAATAATAAAATGTATAAATAACATACCCGGCTGCAGCAAAACCATTGGGTGCCATTTTAGACGCTTTATTTACAATTCTACTACATATAATTATATCTGTCACAGCTTTAGAACACAAATCCTTGTATTTAATTTTATAGCACAATTGTTTTTTCCTCCATGCCTTCTGCACTGCAAAATTTAGTATTACATTATATTATCACTCTTTGTTTGTCTCTTGTCTCTTTCTTTTTTTTTTAAATACATACGATGTCACATTTCAACGTATTACAAAAATATGCTCACTGGAATCTATGGTATGGGAGATAATACTGTATCCTTCTGGTGGCACTTCTCGTTCATTGATAATGGTAATATCTTCCACTATGTAATGGGGTAAACCTTCCGTCTTGGAAAAGCAGATATATCTACCTTTCTTTTTAATAAACAATCCAGTCTCTCTCCATAAATCTGCATCAGTGTCTTGATCGTATGTTCTGGAAACCTTTGCAAACGTATGACATAGAAATAAATAAAATAACATTAATTATTCAAAATAATATTATTTAATATTTTAATAATAACAACTTACTACTGTAAAATTTGGTGGACATTTTTCTACATCTTCAATAATATTAATGGCAGTTATTGGTCTATCGTCTGGTAAAACGGTAGATAATTGATGTACCAACATTTTACTACCACTTTTCTTTGACATTGCTGTAATCTATCAAAATAATATATATATATATATATTATTTAATTACAATTTAAAAAATATGTAAATTATTATCTTAAGTAAAAAACATTTAATCTGATTTTAGAATAATACAAAAGTTTAGAAAATGAAGACAATGTAATTGTAACTTGAATGAAATTTTACATACTTCTTTGAGATGGTAAAAAGATACATTCTAAATAACTTGACCTTTCATCCGTTTCTACGATCGATAAAAAAACAACACACGTAATACTCTAAATATTGTCTTTAGATAATTCAATGATGCATTATACATTTATAACTTTAATTTAATATAATGTATAAAATAGAAATATAAAAATGTAAGATAATTGTTGTATTTATCTTTTGTTATGACATCTCTCTATGTAACAGAACGACTGAACACATCCTATTCGGACTATTTCAACGTTTATATACAATGCTATGAAGCAACCAATATCTATAAATAAATTTACGCAATAGACTTTTATTTATTTCATTATTTTTTAACTCACCTTATTTAAAAAGATTAAAGCATTGAAAATTTTACAATGGCCGCATAGTCGGCCAGTTTTCTTTTCTACCAGCTCTTAATTAACCGATCAATTAGCTCCAATGAGAGCGACACGTCAGTTTTCTTTCGAACAACTCCAAACCCCCTAACTCTGTCTCACACGACAGTGCCACTACTTCGTTTCGTATCTTTTTCTATGTGATTCTACCAAGATTCAAACTCTTATAGAAGAAATAAGTATCCTTAGTACAGGTTTCCTTCTGTTAGGCATCGCTAGGATCGTCGTTTATTAAACATTCTTACCGACCGAGTCATACGTCAAACTCCTACTATCTACAATTTTTAGAAAATATTAATATATATATATATGTATATATAAATTTAATTTATATATATGTTAATTTTTCTTACAATTTTCCTTTTTTTATATCAACAAAATTGATTGTAATAAATATGGCAAATATTTTCCAGCATATTTATATTTAGTACGACTTTGCTTTCACTAGGCTTCGCTAGTGTCGCGTTTATCGACGGAGTCATTTTTCAAAATTTAATGTTATCTATAATTTTAATAAAATAATATTTATACGTGTAACTTTAGTTAAGAGGAG